AACATTCAATGGTCAAAGATCTGCCACTACTGTCATTATTACTATTCAATTTCAAGGGGGGCAGAGTTTTGAAGGTTTTTGTGTTTTTTACACATATGAAATCATCTATCAATCAATCAATCAATCATTGTTACTAGATCACCACCATTAGAAACATGGAAGCACTAAAAGACGACAGTTTGGTCCTGGTATGGGACTACTGTGCGTATCTACATAAAATGAAGGCATTCCATTTTGAAATGACAAATAACGATGTAAATAGATTTACTACAAATTATTTGTAACCTAATCATCATATCATTAGGCATATATTGGCATGTTGTACAAATGAATTTATCAGATTTTAGAAGAAATTATGTACAGTATCAATGAATTGTAATACAGATGAATGGATATAAACGTATATATGTATATATGACCGCAGACATTCAACCTGCCACTCATTAACGCGCACACGCACACGCACACACACAAACACACACAGATGAACTAGGAAGCATATACATATGCATATGCATAAATGTACAACTGTTTAAATGAGTGAGCAGTTATCCGCAATGGAGTTAAATATTCATCATTATTCATCATTAACTGACTGATCAACATAGTTCAATTGACAAGAAAATTCGTGTCAACTAACTATGTTCTCTGTTATATGTTATATGTTATGTTATGTTTTACGTTATGTTACATCTAAATATACGCGTACAGACGCACACCCACACACCTATTCCCCTATACATTGATTTCCTTCCGTTCAATTTTTCGATCTTGATTTCATTGAATGATAACAAACAGAATGACAGGCAGTTTTATTTATTTTTGATTAAACGTGGGAGGGGGGACGGAAAGAATTGTACATTGTACGCTGGAGAAATTGTTCCCCTTTTTGTTTTGAGATGTTGACATTCCTCCTTTCCATTTCTATGTATAGATAGTGTATAAGTGTATAGTGTAGGTATGTTTTTATTTTCCGGAATGATCGATTAATTACAACTATTTTCGCGCTCTTTTTTTTCTTCTGTTGATTTGAATAGTTTAAAACAAAGTTTGTAATTGTTTCTATCAAATAATGTAAGTAAGATAATCCAGGTATTCAATGTTTGGTGGGGGGGGGTGAATAGTATCGTTTTTCGCTTTGAACGTTGATGATGAGGGAAATAATTTATCCTACCTATACATACCATGGCTAATGAAATATCAATCAGTATTTGTAAATCTTAAGATAAACAACTCTATTGTGGATCAGTGATCATATGATTCTTTTCTTTCAAGGGTGTCGTCAATCAGTTGATCACACACAATCTCTTAAGATGTATCTGGTTTCAATGTCCAATATTTTTTTTAAAAAAAATCATCTTATTACTGAAATTATGAATCGATCATTGTTAGACCGTTGTTAGAAATCTGGAAACATTGAAAGGCGGCCATTTCGTCCTGGTATTGAGCATCTACGACATTGAACAGTAGGATCGTCGTTCTTGTGCACGAAAACACCTAACTTCTAGACCACTGAGCCGGTTGTCTAACTCTAATCATTCTAAGAAATTGGTCTTCTATATTTACTACCTGCATCCAACAAGGGTTGAACTACACTGGTCACAATGTCTTCTCACGTAGAATTGCGAGAATTTCTTCACGCAACTAGTCATTAGTGGACACATTCGACAACTTTTTCATCATAGAGTTATGGGCATTGTTCTAAATTGTTAGATGACCATTAGAAATCTTGAAGCACTAAAAGACGGCCATTTCGTCTTGGTATGGGACTACTGATCAGCAATACGCACTCACGACTCCTGCTACTCACATGATTCGAACCCTGGACCTTCGATCTTGTGCATGAACGCTTAACCTCTAGATCATTGTGCCGGTATCCAGCGGTCCTAATGTTTAACTCTGATCAATCTACAGATTTGGCATAAACTCACTGACAGTCTTTGGTAGGCAACTGCCTATACACGACAGTGTTGAACTTCACTGGTCGTCATTTCTCATTAGAACTCCAAAGCTAGTCACCACTAGTTAGCTCATTATACAATTTTTCTTCATAAAGATCATTGTTTATTACTGAAATCATGAATCGAACGCCTTAATTTATGCACATCAATGATTCTGTTGATTTTGTCACATAACTAAAGAGAAGTTAACCTTTTGTTGAACATCTTCAACTTTTGTATCAATGATCATAGGATGATACTTTTTTTTCTTTCAAGGATGTCCGTCAGTTTCAATGTCCAATCTTTTTTTTTCAAAAAAATTCACTGACACTCATTTGTTAATCTCAATATATTCTGTTCATAAGACAAGTTAACATTGTTGAACTTGTCGATTTTTTTTTGGGGGGGGGCGGTGGGATAAAATTCTAATTTCTCCCATAGCCTATAATCATCCATTTTTTTGTGTGTGGTGTGAATTGAAAAAAACAATTTTCACTCATTTACTTGTCAAGAGAAAGAAAAAAGCAATTGACTTTTGATCCTTCTGCCAAGGTCGTACTTAACATGATAATTGCTATTATTATCGGTTAAGGTAACAGCAATTATCATATTTTCTTTTAATACCTGTAATCAACGGTGTTATAGTGTGAATCAGTCAATTTATGAAGTGGGGTTTTGAGCAATTGGAGGTGTTTTTTTTGGTGACAAGGGAGGGGGTGGCGGTAGGCGGGAGGCGATAGTTGGTTAAGTTTTTTTGTTCATAAACTAGTTAAATCATTTAAAAAAAATATTCGTTAGAAGAAAAAATCAATTTGTAAAAACCTATAATTTTGTTTTTTTGCACAGTGATTAGGGGATATGAATTTTTAATATGAGACTGTAATAATGATCATTATCATGAAAGAATGAAAATAATATCTGCTTTTTTTTCTGTTAAAAGAAATAACTATTGAACTGTTCAATAAATGAATGTTTTGAGTGAAAGTGGAATGCAACCCGGTCAAGTGTAGGTAGTAACTACTGAAGATAAAATGGGAGAGGTGGCGTGTAAAACTCTTAGATTGATTAGAGTTAGACATGAACACCATTGTGGTATTGGTGGTGGTGAAGAGGTGAAGAGTTCGCGTGTTGAGCTGAAGGCTCTGCGTTCGATTCCCGTGGATGCGCATTCTTGATAAGTCCTTCCGTACTAGAGTGAAAAAAGCCATCCAGTGCTTCTAGGTTTCGAATGGGTAGTGTAACAATAATTGATTGATGATTTCAATAATATAACAACAATCTGCATAACTTTATGATGAAGACAGTTATGTAATCATTGGTGTTTTGTAAGAACAGAAATAAGCAATGCTGTCGTTAGGAAACGAGTACTAGGTAAGGATAGCAGATCAATAGATGAAGTAGTGAAACTTCATCAGTTGATGTGGTTGGAACATGTGTTACGTCTCGACGAGCTATGTTTTGTGGTGTAGGAGTAGGTTGGAAGAAAGCTAGGGATGGCTAAACCAAAACATGGCAGCAATCCATGAAGTGACTGACAAGTACACTGAGTCATGTTGGTAGATGTAGACTACCTGGTTGGGGTCCGTGAGACGACAGTCACCGATGGTTAGAAATCTTGAACGACATGGCTCAGAATCGTTTGCAATGGCGCAAGTGCATCCATTCATTGTGCTCTCTCAAATCCTAATCTTCTGGATTCGTCAGCACTTCTACCTTTGTCTTTCTAACCTAATCTCACTGAATTATACTTCTCGAATAATATCTTCAAACCCTAGTCTTCTTCATTACCATTAATACCTCTACTATCTTTATCACTATGGTATTTGATTTGACATTTGCGTGTCTGTGCTAATAAGGTATGGCAACATGAACTTATGAACTTACGTACGAAGTTCTACGTTGCAACTGACTAAATGATGTATTTTTAAGATAAATTAAATACAGTAAAAATTTTAAAAGAATCGTTTTCGTCATCAATTGATATTACTTATAGTGAAATAATTGTGACATCATGAAACCTTGAAAAATTTGTCCAAGCACTGTATGGCCATTTCGTCCTAGTGTGCAACTCATCAGCAGTAAGTATCCACAACCTCCGTTCATGGAAATCGATCCCGAGACCTTCAGTCTTACGCTTGAACGTTCAATCTGCATACCACTGAGTGGGCCTCCAACAGTTGTAATGTTTAACTTAAATCAATCTAAAGTATTGCGCAACCTCACCTATGGTCTTCAGTGGGTCACTTCCTCATATCAAACGGAGTGGAACTCCACTCCTCACTTGGACATTGAACACTACTACTATTGTTAGCATAGACTCATCTTAACACACACACACACACTTTGAAAATTGACAATTTTGTTGGATAGTAACATAAATAATTTTTTTTTCTTGTTTAAAATACAAAATCTTTTAATACACAGAGGAATATAATTTACTAGTTCATTGAATTGATAGGAGAATTCTCTAGAGTTAAATCGATGTAAATGATTAACGCTGGCTGGTTGGGAATTTTTTTTGTTTAAAATAAGTCAAATCAAGTTTGAAAAAAAGAAAGATCAAATATCATATGATTTAACTATGAATCATTGGATGTTTATTCTTGTTTTTTAGAAAAAAAAGTTTCGTACTGGTATGGGACTACTGATCAGTAGTACGCACTTATGACTTATGTACCGCATAGGATTCGAACGCGCGAACGCCTAAACTCTGAACCTCTGAATTGGCTGACATCCAACAGTGTCTAACTCTAATTGATCTAGGGATTTTTTGCACGACCTCACCCATTTATTTGTCTTTGGTAGGTGACTGACTACATACACCCAACAGGGTTGAACTCCACGCGGTCATAAGGTCTTCTCACATAGAACTCTGAGAATTTCTTCACGAAGTTTATCATTCTGAAGTATATATACATAATGACAGTCGTTAGTATTCAAACAAATAAACTGTACATAAACTAGTTCTTAGTAAATGAGTCATTCATAGGTGTACCAATGACTTTTTTGAAATTAAACTAAGCAACTTGTTTTATTTCCTTTTTTCATCAATATTCTAGAATGTTTCCAATGACAGCATTCCCTTTGAATCCAGTCAATTGTGGCCGTTCATCAACTGATTTAATATGGCCTAATTCTACTACCACGTTACAAAACATGACATCTGAATCGAATTGTGATCATTTATCGTATAGTAGTATTAATAACAATAATAATAATATTAATAATAATAATAGCAGTAGTAATTTGTCATCTCTGTTTCCTAGCGCCACTTCAAATTTCTTAACACGTCCGAATTATGCTTGTGATCTTAGTGCAACTTATCGATCACAAGAACAATCAAATAATCAAACAAATTATTTAAATGACGAATTATCAAATCAATGTAATGAGAATCTAGTTGACAATAGTACTACTAATATTACTAATACTACTAATACTACTACTACTACTACACCTACAGCTACTCTATCGAATTGTACAACCAATAGTAATAATGATACAACAGATTTACATTTAACCAATGAAAACACTCAAATCAATCTTACAACATCACCTCATTTATTGCTGATACCTTCTGATACAACAGAGAAATTAAATATGGCCACAAGTACCAATTATGAGACTTGGTCACATGATCATAGAAAACGTCATAAAAAATCAAAACTATTAAATTCAGACATTAAATCCACGATAGATAATCAACTGTCAGACACAAATACATCATCATCATCATCATCACATTTATTATTTAAGAATGAATCTATGGAGAAAAAAGATGTTTACAATGATGCGTCAAACAGATTGTCAATATCAATGGAACATGAGAAAGATACTACTACTACAACTACTACTAATACTACTACTCCTACTCCTCTGTCTACGATAACTACAACAAAATCATGTGATTTTAAACAATACACCGGTAAATTTCCTAATGACCAACAACAACAAACTAGTAGTTATGCCTTTAATTTATTCCCTAACAGAACAACTACACATCCTAATTACACGAATGAAATGATCTCAAGAGAATATAATCATGATGATCATGATGATGAAGATGATGATGAAGAAGGTCATTTCAATTGTTCAACATTATCACAATATAATAATTCATGTCAACAACATTTAACATTGAATAATAATAAGAAAGGTATGAAAGAATCATTGAATGATGATAGGGATGATAATAATAATAGTTTATTGACAAATTATCCAATCAGATTTAATCAATCACAGTTTGGAACGAATTCAATGGAGGCGGACAACGATGATGATGATGATGAAGAAGACGGAGGAGGAGGAATCTATAAACCAATGATCAATACGAGTAATCATAATTGTACTGTTAGTACACTTATATCTACCGGTATTAGTACGACCACTACTACTACTACTAGTACTATTAGTAGTATTGCTACTACTACTGCTACTACTGCTACTAATACTACTCTCGGTACAACAACTACTACTACTAATACTACTATAAATAGTATAAATAATCTAAACAGAAGATTAGATAGTAGTAATCAGTTGATTCATTCACAGAATGAACTTGATATGATGGATACATGGAATACTGCAATGTCAATACAACACCAGCACCAACAACAACATTCAACAAATATTCTACCACACCAACTGGCTTCATTCTATACAACTTGTTCAAATGAGCTTGCTTTTCGGAAAAATTTACTATTGAATAATAGTAGTACTGTTAGTAGTAGTCATCATCAAACAATGAATATGATGGAGTCAACTAACTATTCAATGTACAATAATCAAAATAAACACGACTCAGAACGTCATACATCATCATCACCATTATCTTCGATATTACAAAGTAATTTAGACTTGAATTCAGGTTCTACTACTATATTCAATCGTAATAATAATAATAATAATAATAATAATAATAATAATAATAATAATAGTGAATTGAATGAAATGAAAGTTGGTTCAAAGTTCAATAATCCTATAAAACAACAACCACAACAACAACCACATCAATCAAGGCGAATAATGAATGATTCATCATTAATGCAAAATAATCATTTAGATACTACTTGTAAACTAACACATCATCATCATTCTCATCCACCTCCACCTCAACCTCCACCCCCACCCACTCTGCCTCCACCTCCACATCATCAACAACAAGGAGGAGGAGGATTTGAAGATGATCAAATGATTGATGATATAAGTGTAGCATATCATTCAGCTGCAGCTATGGCAGCCGCTGCAGTTGTTGCCCAAGCAGCTGTAGCAAGTGTCAATGTTACAAATCCTCCTCCTCATCATCATCAGTCGGAACAACAACAGCAACATCGACGTCCACATGACCAGTCCAGTCATCATCATCAGCATCAGCAACAACAACAGCATCAACATCAACATTTACATTCCCAACAACATGAACAACATGAACGCGAACATCGCTTGCAATATACAACTGACAATGAACATTCCATGTTACATCATACACATCCCATAGAACAATATGGTTTGCATATGAACAGTCATAATAATAGTCATGACAGTTTAATACATCAATCACAATATAATCATAATCATAATAGTAATAACATGATGATGAATCCAAGTTTAGGATTATTTCCTTTAATCAATAATAACAATTCATTTAATCATTCACCAAATATAATAAATAAAACAATGAAAAATAAAAAACTTACAATGACAGGTTAGTAACAGCTAATTGACATTTGTTTTGAAGATTGATTGTTAAGTTACACATTTTTTTTTTGAAACCATGAATCGATCAATGCTATTAGACCAACAGTATAGAAACCTGGAAGCACTGAAAGTGCGGCTGTTTCGTCCTGGTATGGGACTCCTCATCAGTGGCACCTGCACCTGACAGGATTCGAACCCTTCGGTATTGTGCGCGAACACCTAATCATCGGACCACTGAGCCGGTATCTAACGGTGTTAATGTCTAACTTTTGATCAATTCATAGAGTTGCGCAACCTCATACACAGTCTTCGGTAGTAGTTATTGTCTACACCCGAACAGGTTGAACTTCACTGGTCACGTCTTCCCAACTAGAACTCACGGGAGAAGATTCCTCACGAAGCTAGTCACTAGTGAGCATAGGTGAGGAGTCTCATACCAGGACGAAATGGCCGTCTTTCAGTGCTTCCAGGTTTCTATAATGGTGGTCTAACATTGATCGATTCATGGTTTCAAGAAAAAAATTTATTGAGATGTTGTTGGTTGGTTGTTTTTTTGTAAGTAGGCCACATTTTCGCCCTCTCCGTCTGTTTTCCTTATGTTAAGTAGATAAATGATGTATAGTAGTAGTAAGTTATGTTGTACGTTAGCGGAGAAACTTTGGAAGATTTAAAAAAAACATTTACATATTTGGTCTCTGTCATTGATAAGCATGGTGGATGGGGTTGCAGATGTGAAGGTATAGATTAGTAAAGCAAGGTTGGTATTTCTACAGTTGGAGAACATCTGCACCTCAAAATAATTATCAACCAACATTGAAATCAGAATTTTTAATACAAGTGTTAAGATAGTTCTACAGTATGAAGCGGAGAGAATTGGGGAACCAGGGAAGCTATCATCCATAAGATACAGATGTTTATTGACAATTGTCTACACAAAATACTTCGGATCCATTGATTTGACATCTGCAGCAACAGCCTACTGTGGAAGAGAGTGAACCAGATTCAAACAGAAAGAGGAAATCAGTAAGAAACGCTGGAAGTAGATAGAGTACATATTGAGGAAAGTACGGAACTGCATGACAAAACAAGCCCTCACTTGCAATCCTTAAGGCCAGAGGAGAGGAGGAAGACCAAAGAACACAATACGCTGAGAAATGGAGACAGATATGAGAAGAATGAACAAAAGTTGGATAGAACTGGAAAAGAAGACCCAGTACAGAGTTAGTAGGTTGGTGTTATGCTGATCGGTGACCTATATGCTCCACTAGGGGTAACAGCCGTGAGCAGATCAATTTCGTTAGAGCATGAAAAAATGAAGTTGGAGAACAGACATTTTAGTTTACTGAATACTACTCATCACCTAGGCGTACGTCCTTCTCATTTGAATGTACCTGTTAGTTAATTTACCAGGTTCAAATAGCTACAGACATGTTCAATGAGTATGAAGTCAATTTCGCTGACTTAGATTCCACTGATTATAGCGATCCAATTATACTCGGTTCATTAAATTCAAAATTGTATTAAGGATCTGTATTTTTTTTAAACTATCGAATCTAGATTGTTACAGTTTGTGTACTTCCTTCAAAGATAATTAGACAATCGTTTACCGAACTTCGAAGTAAATTTTGAAGATTAGAATTTACGAGAACACAAAGAATGAATGAACTTGCGCCATTGCAAATAGTTTTGAGTCATATCTTTCAAGGTCTCTCACCATCGATTGTTATCATCTCACCAAAACCCGAACCAAGTAGTCTACACACTTATGAACATGATTCAGTCCACTTGTCAAGTGACTTCACAGATTTGTGCCATGTTTTGGTTTGATCACTCCTAGTTATCTCCCAACCTCACGATCAACACAGTCAAATATACCCAGTACTTTCATTCGATATCTTCTTCTATGATAGACAAGAACGAATAATACACAAATTCATCAAGATGTCTTCCTTTTACCTTACCAAATGATACCGTGATTTAGTCTATTTAACAGATAATACCTTGTGACACAATAAGCGAATTAGTAAAAATTGTTATCTTTGGTACATAGCTTTATAAAGTTGAAAGTGACCTAGGAGACCATAGGTTCGGTCCTAATGAACATTGGGGATGGTTTAGCATTAATTTAGCAAGTATTACTAACAATCCATATACAAATTCGGTTTACAACGTACTGGTGGTTGGTTGGCAACATTTTTTTCAGGGCCATTATCATTTAAGATGCTTGCTGTATTACGGCATACTAACATTACTACTACTACTACTACTACTACTACTACTACTACTACTACTACTACTACTACTACTACTACTACTACTACTACTACTACTACTACTACTACTACTACTACTACTACTACTACTACTACTACTACTACTACTACTACTACTACTACTACTACTACTACTACTACTACTACTACTACTACTACTACTACTACTACTACTACTACTACTACTACTACTACTACTACTACTACTACTACTACTACTACTACTACTACTACTACTACTACTACTACTACTACTACTACTACTACTACTACTACTACTACTACTACTACTACTACTACTACTACTACTACTACTACTACTACTACTACTACTACTACTACTACTACTACTACTACTACTACTACTACTACTACTACTACTACTACTACTACTACTACTACTACTACTACTACTACTACTACTACTACTACTACTACTACTACTACTACTACTACTACTACTACTACTACTACTACTACTACTACTACTACTACTACTACTACTACTACTAATAATAATAATAATAATAATACTACTACTATTAATAATAATAATAATAATAATAATAATGAGTTTGACAGTCATATAAGCGGAATAAGTCAAATTGGCCTGTTCATACTGTGCATATTGATTGACACGATCATGGATCGCAACTATCTATCTATCTATATATATATATATATATATATATATATATATATATATATATATATATATATATATATATATATATATATATATATATATATATATATATATATATATATATATATATACAGGTACCAGTGTATATCAATAGTGCAAATGATCCACCAGGTTGTCAGGTACCTGTGTCGTAGTTGCGCCACAGGATTGAGCTGTACTGTACTGTTCTGTTCACGTTTCAATGTTAAAGCGTGGACAGTCTCCTTGGTTCTCCTGTAAACCAATGTTAAATTCCCCTTGCCAATTGAAGGTGAATTTATTTGATCGTGTAAATTAATTAACTGATAGTTAAAATAGTTGTTTTAATAAAATAAAAATTTACTACTAGCTTTCATTGTCAACACGAAATAAATAACTCTTCTATCGAAAGTATATTCGATAAATAGCATTATATACACAATCAGGATTTTGGCTATTGTCTTAACACGAAATGTGGACACTGCTAGAGGCCTTTTACGTGAATCATCTGTTGATGCAATTAAAAATTGGTATTGGTAGTGATCCCAAAATACGGAAACGTCGTATACGCTCAAATCTTCTTTGAAGATGACGGATGAAAGAACCTATTGCTGATATGATCTGACAGTGTGGCATCTAGAGGGCTGGTTTGTATTCATTTACAAACATCCCGATTTATACTTGGTCATACAAAGCACAGGCTGATTAAATCAAATCGTGTCTTTTATTCTAAGATGCAATCAGATTAGCTTCGAAAGTTTTTCGTCTAAACAGCTTCAGAATGAACAGTCTTTGGTGGGTGGGGGGGCGGAAGTCGTAGGTTTAGAAGTCCTGTACTCATCGGTTAATAGCTAACTGATGATTTTCAAATGAACATTCTATTAGGTAGACTATAACATAATCATCTCAATCCAACCAATCACATTAACCGAAATACAGAACAATTTTAATTCTTTCTTAAAAATGTCTTCAATTTTTTTTTCTTTTGTTTTTATCAGCTGAGGGAAGAGAATGTGTCAATTGTGGTGCAACTAGTACACCATTATGGAGACGAGATGGACAAGGAAATTATCTGTGCAATGCATGTGGTTTATATCAAAAAATGAATGGTCAAAATCGTCCATTAATTAAACCAAAACGAAGATTGGTAAATTGTCTTTTCTTGAAATTAGAATATCTCTATAAATCTTTATATATATATATATATATATATATATATATATATATATATATATATATATATTGTGGTGGTGTTTCGTTCTCTGAGCTGGTTGTTTTGGTTGTGGAGCTTTCATTGTTCTTCTACTGAACAACATCATCAGCACAAACTTCAGATAGAAGTGAAGCATTCGAATTTCTCCACGTTTGACTTGTAGCTTGTTCTGCTAACCTCGATCTTGATTGGTTGTTGTTGTTGACTTTTGATCTGTCGTTGTTAGCAACTTTGTTTTGATTGCAACCCCCGTGGAGAAATTCGAATGCTTCACTTCTATCTGAAGCTTGTGCGGATGATGATGTTGTTCAGTAGAAGAACAATGAAAGCTCCACAATCAAAACAATCAGCTCAGAGAACGAAACACCACCACAATCATCCACCTGAGCTACAAGTTTTCTCCACCATCTCTCTCTCTCTCTCTCTCTCTCTCTATATATATATATATATATATATATATATATATATATATATATTGTTTAATCTCATTACTGGCCCGATGGTCCAGAGGTTAAGCGTTCGCGCACAAGACCGAAGGTCCTGGGTGTGAATCCTGCAGGGTGCAAGAGTCGTGGATGTACACTGATGACGAGACTCTTAAAAGAAACTTTAACTAATCAGTCGCTTTTTAGTATATACCTAAATCTTGTGGGGATAATAACCTTGGTTTCCCCACTCAATTGAAGTTAGGTTAAGTAAGATATATATATATATATATATATATATATGTATTTGACGGGTATGTCCAGTTGATGCGCTCGGAATAGGGCAAACAGTATTTATCCTTCATTCCACTACCAACCATTATTCAGATTGGGTTACAGATGTCTTTCCAGTGCACAACGTCAAAATTATTACCAATAAATAGGTCTTGCCTCTTATGGTATACCTGTAATTATATAACTTACTGAAATCATGAATCGATCAGTGTTAGACTACGATTAGAAACCTGGAAGCATTGGACAGCAGTTTCGTAAATGGTATGCCACTCATCAGCAATGTACATTCACGGCTCATGCACCTCACAAGATTTGGTCTTACGCTCGAACGCCCAACTTCTGTACCCCTAATTGTGCTAGTGTGTGTATAAGGTTGCACAAGACCATGAATTCATCGGGGTTAGACATTAACACCGTAAGAAAACAGTTCAGTGGTCTAGAGGTTAATCGTCCGCACGCGAGACGGCGGGTCATTAGTTCTAATCCTACACGGTGCACGAGTCGTGAATGCGCACTGCTGATGAGTCCCAAACCAGGACGAAACTATCGTCCACTGCTTCCAGGTTTATAAGTGTGGTCTAACGTTAATCGATTTATGATTTCATTAAGTAACTCAGCAATCTTCACAAACCCCATAATCCAGTTATATATTGCTGCATATCTTATAATATTGACATACACAATTCCTCAAATATGCACCTGAAATTTAATATGAACCTCTAGAATGCAGTTTCATTCAGCCAACTGGTGGTCTCAGATAAGTCATTGATTCCCTCTATCGGTGATATTTCACTGATTTTATATAAAAAAACTATTTTCATTGCTGACTTTTTGAGTTTTACATCTAAACATAAAAATGTTAACCTCATATTTTTTTATAACCATTCATCGTATGTCCAAAAACTGTTATACCCGGTTCTGGAATCGACCAGCTAACAGTTTTCAACTTCTTTTAAAAGCTTTTTTCTCAATTCACCAATGTGTAAGCATCATGCTGAATGTGAGCCATAGAACTTAATCTGACCTTTAGAGTTCGAAAGTTGCCTTAATTTATAGATCATTGTTGATTAGGAGAGGTGTTGCTCAAATAACACGGGCATCAGTTAGTTTGAACAATAATTAATAATCAGAAGACAGACTTGATGCAGTAGGATCATGACTTATTCAGATGATAAAATTTATTTACACACAAACACACACACAAACAATACTATTACAAGGGCATCCCAAGGTCATCTATATACTCTATGAATTAGTATAAAAATAAGCATAGCTTATAATTTCTATCACCTTGGTTGAATAACAACCATCCAAAAGGCAGAAATCAATAAACAGTCGATTTATCCTAGAATAGATCATCTGTTCATCAACTTACATTACTAACCTAAATGAGAATTGAATGCCAAACTGTAACACTTTAGATAAACAAAAGATATCTACCCTAACAGTCGAACAGTTAACTTTATGCCTTAAGACCTGAAGGTTCAGAGGTTTGTTTTCTCCACTATTGAGATTAGGAATGTGCTCAGCTAAGCAGTCACTAATTAAACTAAACAACTATTTAGTAGAACCTTTGAATTTTTTCCAAAGAGTTGCCTACCGAAATCCATTTCTTCATGCAAAACTAAAAAAACTTATAAATCTTCACAAACCCCTGTAGTGTGTGTTTGATAAACAATATTTATATCTATCTATCTATCTATCCAAATGATGCCTTATTTCATATCAATCAATCAATTAAAGACAATTCCATTGTACGTTCAATATTCAATCTAATAGTTATTGATGTACAACAACATCATTTGTTTTAATGTCAATTTACACCCGGTCTAACATTGTTCACAATGAATAGAATGGTATTTGTGCTTGTAATAAAATAGAAGATTTAATTTAATCACATTGTGTTTTCCCATATGGTGGAAGAGATTGAAACATTGAATACAATTTGGCGGAATACATGTGGTTGTTATTGTTGAATTCAAATAAAGATCAATATATTTCGTAAATTAAACATAATAACCAATGAAGTAATGATTGATTAAATTGTGTGTTTAAGGAAAATGAAAGCTGGCTGAATAAAAAAGTGACTTCACAAATGTTTAACATAACAGCATAGTGATTAATATTTGGTCTAGACTTTAATGTTAAGGTGTTGGTTGAATGATTGATGAACCAGTTAAAAATGTGTTCATATGTGTATCAGTTAATTTTGATTAGATGTGCAAAAAAGAATCTTTTTTTGTTTTGAAAGTTCTGGTAAGAAGCAATGACTGGCAGAGCTCAACTATGTTAATAGATTACCGGGGATAATGGGTGATGATTGCTCAGTATTTTGAATTGGTTAGAATTGAAAGTGAACCTTAATGATTGTAAGATACTGATCTCCTCTTAGTCTGGTACCATGGTCTGTGATGAAAACTGGACTAACAATGAGTAATGTGTACCAATCCTATGCGTGAATAATAGTAATTTATCGAGTGATCATCAGTTGTGAATGTTTATAGATCTCATGGTGTTAGATTAAGGAAATGTTACTTACTTACTTACTTACTTACTTACTTACTTACTTACTTACTTACTTACTTACTTACTTACTTACTTACTTACTTACTTACTTACTTACTTACTTACTTACTTACTTACTTACTTACTTACTTACTTACTTACTTACTTACTTACTTACTTACTTACTTACTTACTTACTTACTTACTTACTTACTTACTTACTTACTTACTTACTTACTTACTTACTTACTTACTTACTTCGCCACTTACTTACTTACTTACTTACTTCGCCACTTACTTACTTACTTACTTACTTACTTACTTACTTACTTACTTACTTACTTACTTACTTACTTACTTACTTACTTACTTACTTACTTACTTACTTACTTACTTACTTACTTACTTACTTACTTACTTACTTACTTACTTACTTACTTACTTACTTACTTACTTACTTACTTACTTACTTACTTACTTACTTACTTACTTACTTACTTACTTACTTACTTACTTACTTACTTACTTACTTACTTACTTACTTACTTACTTACTTACTTACTTACTTACTTACTTACTTACTTACTTACTTACTTACTTACTTACTTACTTACTTACTTACTTACTTACTTACTTACTTACTTACTTACTTACTTACTTACTTACTTACTTACTTACTTACTTACTTACTTACTTACTTACTTACTTACTTACTTACTTACTTACTTACTTACTTACGCCAGTTATCTTCCTCGATGGAGTATTGGCCGCTGACTATTATTCTCCAACCTAGGCTTCCCTCTCCAGTTCTGTCCAATTTTTGTTCATTCTTCTCATATCTGTATCTATTTCTCAACGTGTAAAGTGTGTTCTTCAGACTTCCTCTTTTCCTTCGGCCTTGACGATTATAATTTGGGGTTTGCCTTATGATGCAGTCGGGTAATTTTCTCATCACTTCTTGGTGATTTCTTCCACTGGTGGACCTTAATGTTTTCTTTTTCGATTAAGGGAATATAGTTTAGTAATTTTTATCTATGAGCTCAACACCACCAATAACAACAAACTTATACGATCTTAGGAATAAATTTATTTACAAAACAAAGCGTTTAACTTATCAAGAATAACAGTAGTAGTAGTAGTAGTGCGAGTAGTAGTAGTAGTAGTAGTAGTAGTGTGGTGCTGTGGTGCGAACTACTTATAAGTAGTATATGACGTGAGTCTGGTAGCATAATATAGGGGGAAGATCAAGAAAGGAAGAAGAGCGGGAACACAATGGAATTTGTATGAAACACATGAATAGTGACAATGGATTGATGTTTGGCAACAGGAACAGTCCAGTTTGATATGATGAACTGATATTTTGCAAATGAACAATTTACGATATGGTTTTCCGATTTTACTGAGTAACTCTGTAATTTTCGCTACATACAATTCGGTTGCCCCAACTGTGTTCTCGTTCACTGCAGTAGTAGTAGTAGTAGTAGTAGTAGTAGTAGTAGTAGTAGTAGTAGTAGTGTGAGTAGTAGTAGTAGTAGTAGTAGTAGTAGTAGTAGTAGTAGTAGTAGTAGTAGTAGTAGTAGTAGTGTGAGTAGTAGTAGTAGTAGTAGTAGTAGTAGTAGTAGTAGTAGTAGTAGTAGTGTGAGTAGTAGTAGTAGTAGTAGTAGTAGTAGTAGTAGTAGTGTGAGTAGTAGTAGTAGTAGTAGTAGTAGTAGTAGTAGTAGTAGTAGTAGTAGTAGTAGTAGTGTGAGTAGTAGTAGTAGTAGAATTAGTAGTCGAAACACACTTTCAATACTTTTATCAGTCTTCACAATAAAACCAGATTACTACACATTTCATATGACTCTATAAAATTTGAAATCAATAGTAGTCAGATCACAAATTCCTTAAACTATTGAAACTACACACATCAATAATAACTATTTGTGTCATTCGAAATGGAAAATTAATCCAATTTATTGAAACCAATCAAATGATATTTATTTACGCTTAATTTCATTCCATCGATATGCATATATATATATATATCAGTTACTAAAAGTCAAACAAGACTATTTTTTTTTATAAAAAAGAGACTTGTGTAGGCATTGAGAAAAACAAAACGCGCCATATATATGCATATATCAACTAATTACGCATCATTGAAACATTCATTTGACATGTGTCCATTATATATGTCCATTGTATATTGACTGTCATTCTTATCAATATTTGCGAATCAATGATGTTTACGCCTCTAATTTATATTTATTCATCTTCATTTTATGATGATAATCAAAAATATATCAACGTTTTACTGATTCGCCTTTGTTGCCTTGGTTCAATTTTTTCAACAATGTGCTGTTTGTTTGTTGCGTTTATGTTTGATTCACCTGAATTATTAATGGGAAAATAATAATAATAATAATTACTACTTTAAGTAACACTAATAACATTACTCGTCATAATAATATTAATATTAATAATAATAATGGTTCTATTTATAGGATTAATGTCAATCCTGAATGTTTTTAAATAAAAGGATTGCACAATCTACTTAGGTATATTGATCAAAATAAGACAGAAAAGTAGCCTAGAAACTAAGATGACAATAATGTGTGTGTGGGGTGGGGGGGATTGTAAAAATTTCATTGACAGTGATCTTTTTCGTTTTATTTTTTTCTTGTTTTTGTTTGACTGTTGATTAAGAAAAAAAATAGGGGAATTTATGACAAATTGTTACCAAGATTGCGTAATGTGATGAAGAATGGAAAAAAGATTATTTTTTTTTGGGGGGGGGGTGGGAAATTGTTGACTTTATTCAAATGAAAAGATATTGTTTTATTGAAAAAATTGTACTAAACTGTACAATTGTTGTATACCACCGTTCTTGAACTCTTTTCATTAGTACTTACTTACTTACTTACTTTCGCCTGTTACCCCCAATGGAGCATACGCCGCCCAACAGTTTTCTTCAACCAACTCTGTCCTTGGCTTCCCTTTCCAATTCTGTCCAATTTTTGTTCATTCTTCTCATATCTTTCTCTATTTCTCTTTTTAATGTGTTCCTTGGCCTTCCTCTTTTCCTTTTACCTTGAGGGTTCCATGTGAGGGCTTGTCTCGTGATACAGTTAGGTGCTTTTCGTAATATGTGTCCTATCCACTTCCACCGCTTCTTCCTGATTTCCAATTCCTTTGGAATCTGATTTGTTCTCTCTCACAATAGGTTGTTGCTGATCGTGTCTGTTTATACACTGGACAGCCGTTTCGTCCTCCTACCTGGACTCATCAACATCATTGGATGCTAGCTCAGTAGTAGTCTAGAGGTCAGGTGTTCATGCACCAAAATGTCGAAGGTTCTGAGTTCGTGTTGGTCGTGGATACACACTTCTGCTGAGTCTAATATTAGGACTTGACGGTCATCAAATGCTTCTAGGTTTCTAATGGTAGTATAACATTGATTGATTGCTGATTTTTAAAAGTAACTTAGTTCCACAACCCTCTGATGTAAATTTCTGTATTTACATAATATTATAATCACTGTCAGTACGGTTATCCAAATAATACTTTGTTTTAACGGATAATTGTTTTCTTACTTTGAATAAAGAACTCAACAGGTAGCTAGTTCCTACTACCCTGTCACAACCAAATTATTATCGTCGACATGACTTATTAACTTAGTCGATAGGTGAATAAAACACTTGATACGTAAAGTATTTGATTTTATTGAAAAAATATCTTACAAATAAACTGATACAAGTATATACAACACTAATAAAGTTCATTTTGTACTAAAGCACCCGCTGAATGAATGAATTGACTTACAGTTGATTGACTGCGGCGACGAGCTGTTTTGTAGTGCAGGAGTAGATTGGAAAAAAGTTAGGGGCGGCCAAACCAAAACATGGCAGAAATCCATGAAGTCACTGACTAGTGGACTGAGTCATGTTGGTAGATGTAGGCTACCTGGTTGGGGTCCGCGAGACGATAGTCACCGATGGTTAGAGACCTTGAACGACATGGCTCAAAATCGTTTGCATTGGCGCAGGTGAATTCTTTATTTGTGTACTCTCAAATTCTAATCTTCTAAATTCCTTATCATTACTGTCTTTCTCTTTCTAAAGTTGTCGTACTGAACTATACTTCTCGAATCATATCTTCGCTCCTTAATCTTCTCCATTACTGCTAATCCTTCTATTATTGCTGACAGTTGCGTCTCTGTGCTGATGTGGTATGGCAACGTGAACTGATGTACCTACGTACAAAGTTCTGCGTTGTATCTGTCTGTCTGATTGACCAGTGATTAGTAACCAATTGTAATGTGGGGTTAAATCCTTTTTAGTACTGAAATAGTTCCATCGATCAAGTTACAGTATGTTCACTAGTCTAGATGACTCAGTATTGTATACACTATGTTGAAGTGTAAGTTGATGGTCGATAGAATTCGATCGGCACTAACAAGGAACTGTAACATACAGGAAATTATTGCCTACCATCCAGTATTGTTCCAATCCCACAGGAGGTCAGTCGCAACCCGTATATCTCAATGGTACACTTCTGATTGCGCAATTGTGTGACATGGAGTGAAATCCTTCAGAGATTGTCAAATCCTTTTAATCTGTTTCAAGTACTCTCTATTAAACAACGTTTAAACAATGTTTAAGATTAATAAACTTGACTGTCAGCTGACTAAATTATTCATAACCTAGATTCAGGTTATCTCTGTACTGTGCTCTATCTATCATTTTGATGTAATCAGCATGATGATGAGATTTAACCATTTGACCTGACCTTGATTACTTTTCTTTTTTAATTTTTACAGCAATCCTCTAGCAGACGTACTGGTACTATATGTTCTAATTGTCGTACTATAACAACTACATTATGGCGTAGAAATACTAATGGTGAACCAGTTTGTAATGCATGTGGACTTTATTTCAAATTGCATAATGTAAGTGCATATTGGATTTTTGTATTAACTCTGTGTTCATTTATTAACAGAAAGATATTTTGGGGCAGAGTTTTGGAGGTTTGCGTTTTTTACACATTTGAAATCATCAATCAATCATTGGTCTAACAATGATAACTCCTGTATCCCACAGGAGTCGTGGATGCGCACTGCCACTGAGGAGTCCCATACCAGGACGAAACGACCGTTTTTCAGTGCTTCCAGGTTTCTAATGGTGGTCTAACATTGATCAATTCATGGTTTCTAAAATGTGTAACATAATCTTCACAACAAACCCGTAATGCAAATTACCTGTGCTCACTAGTGACTAGCTTCGTGAGGAATCTTCTCCCATGAGTTCTAGTGGGAAGACGTGACCAGTGAAGTTCAACCTGTTCGGGTGTAGACAGTAACTACTACCGAAGACTGTGTATGAGGTTGCGCAACTCCGTGAATTGATTGAAAGTTAGACATTAACATCGTTAGATACCGGCTCAGTGGTCTAACAGTTAGGCCGTTCACGCACAATATCGATTCATGGTTTCAAAAATATAAATCATTGCCCCAATTAACTATTCTGGGGCACAGTTTTTGGAGATTTGCGTTTTTACACATTTGAAATCATCAATCAATCATTGTTACTAGACCACCATTAGAAACCTGGAAGCACTGAAAGACGGCCGTTTCGTCCTGGTATGGGACTACTCATCAGTGGCAGTGCGCATCCACGACTCCTGCTCCTCACAGGATTCGAACCCGGGACCTTTGGCATTGTAGGCGGAACGCCTTACCATCGCACTATTCGCTTGTTCATTCTTCTCCTTAACTCAAATATCGATCGATTTATGTGTGTATATTTGCAATATTTGCATTTTCATTTTAATTTATCATCAACAACATTGACAGCATTGAACAAACCATTGTGTTTAATGGATGTTTATGACTATATATATCGAAACAAATTATAATGACTTTAGTCATATATATATAGTTATATTTGTATACAATATTAAAAAGCTGACAATTGTCTTTTTAAGTGAATTAATTGACTTTGACACTAACTAACTAACTAGCCTTTTAAGAAAAAAAATAATGGGATTTTTTTCGGCGCATCGATTTGACACACACACACTGCAGCTCTTTTTTTATTGTGTGTGAGTTTGTATGCTTGCATCCTTGTTTTCTTCCAAAAGACAACAATATCTCTCTCTTTTCCTTTGCCTAAATTTAACTTTCTTCTTTATAGTAGTTAGTAGTTATCAGGATGATTATTATTATTATCATTACTATTATTATTATTATTATTACTGTTATTAATGCCATTCTTCAATTGTATGAAGAAAAAAAACGCACAATCATCGATGCAGGCTAAAGCCTGAGACCAAAAGAGAAAAAAACGACAACTAAATAAATGATTACTACTACTCACACACTACTCACTGTGTCTGGTGCTTTCCAACTTCACGCACACACACAGACACACACTGACTGCTAGTTTCTCCAGTCTAAAAAGCATTTATTCTGACGCTCTAAGTAAAGTGAGATGATTCGATAGATAGATAGATAAATAGATAAAGATTTATGCAAAGCAAGTAAGTCATTAAGTCATTGAGTGAGTAAGTGAGTGAGTGAGTGAGTAGAAGTGATTAGTGATGATGAATGCTCAAATCATGAAAAAAAAAACGAATGGCTTCCAGTTTGGTGGTATTATGCATCTGTGTGTGTGCATGGTACACGCATTGGACAAAGTTAATGGTGTGATAATTTGAATTATATATATATATCAGCTTAATGCATTATTACTATTATTATTATTATTATTATTATTATTATTATTATTATTATTATTATTATTATTAGTATTTGAGATAAATTATCAAACAGTGTTGGGCGAGGCAGCAATCTAACGATATGGAATAAACTGTGTGTTTTACATAGAATAGGAGATTTTCCATTCACTACTCATATATTGGGAGAGAGTGAGTGAGATGGAGAGAGGGAGGTAGGGAGAGAGTGAGATGAATAGAACACAAATAAGATTGACTGACTAAAAAATTTGCCTGATTTATTTAACGCATATTATTATGATATATATTAGCAAACCATCAAAATATTGTATTGTTCTCAAATTTATAGGATTCATGGCATTGTTTGAATAAACCAAAATAATATATATATATATATATATATATATATATATATATGTATATTTATATATAGTTAGGCGAATAAATGCATAACTGACTGAGTGAGTGGATGAGTGACTGACTGACTGACTGAATGAATGAATGGTATATATCGAATACTACTACAATTAATCTGAACACAATGATAATAATAATAATATGCATGCATTATTGTACTATGATGAGAGTGAAAAACAAAAAGTAATTGGGATTTGTTCGATCGAGAATAAAATAAGCCTCATACAACAACAATGACTACTATAAATAGTAATCTGTAAAAAAATAACTGCTATTATGATCATGGGGTGTGTCTTCTTGGGCTTGATCAATTTAGCTTCTCCTTTTTTTATTTATTTGACGCCAATACCAGATGCATGACAATTTTGCCCTGTTTGTTTTTTGTGAATGCCCATCTCATTTGCATCCCGCCCCCCTCCTCATCATACTCACACTGCAGACATCTTCCTTCCTCCTCCTCCCCTCCCCACAATGATAAGCACAATAATGTTGTACCTAATTCGTTTTTTTTTCAATGTTTAATAAATTAATAATCCTTCTTCTTTTTGCTAGAGAGAGAGAGGGAGTGTGGGAACAGTGAGAAAGTACATAGTTCATGTTAATAAATAGTATATTGAGTAGTATATGTTGTGTTTTTTCCTTATCCGATAAAAAAAACGAACAGGATGGAAAAGTTTTCAAATTGTTTATTTAAAGTTTTAAGAAGTAGTCTACTTTTTTTATAATTTTAAGTATAATAATTTTGAAGAGCCTCAAACTAAGACGAAACTTCCGTCCAGTGTTTCCAGAGTTTAATTGGGTGTCCAATTCCGATGTAAAACAACTATCTTCATAACTTTATAATGAGAAATTATAAAGTATGCTGACGAATCACTAGGATTATGAGTAAATTCTCCGAGTTCCGGTGGAGTTCAGTCATGTTGGCTGTAGGTAAAATAACTACCGAAGACAATGAGTGAGGTGGCACAATATCAGGGATTGATCAAAGTTAGACACTGACAATTTTTTATGTGTACTGCCATTAGAAACGTTGGAGCACTGAACAGCCGTTTCCTTCGAGTATAGGACTCGTTAGTATTGCGCATCCATCCTAGAAGATCGAATTTAGACATTAACACCGTAAGTACCAGCTCAGTGGTGCACACACAGATCAAGCATTCGCGCGCAAGACCGAAGGTCCTAGGTCTGTCTCCAAGTTTCGGCTTAATATGTTCTTTAGTTTTTCACTTTTCCTTTAGCCTTGAGGATTATAAATGAGGGCTTGTATTGTAACGCAGTTTGGTGATTTCCTCAATATGTATCCTATCCACTAACTCTGGAGCTTTTTTCCTGATTTCCTCCTCCACTGGAATCTGGTTTGTTCTCACCCACAGTATGTTGTTGCTTATGGTGTCTGGTCAACGGATCCGAACTATTTTGAGTAGGCAACTGTTAATAAATACTTGTATCTTCTGGAGTATGGTTTGGTAGTTTTCGAAGTTTCCGCCCCATACAATAGAACTGACTTGATATTTGTATTCAGATTTTGTTGTTTATCGATACTTGTTTTAAGTTGTGGATGTTCTTCAGTTATAGAAATACTATCCTCCCTTTGCTAATTCATATCTTTACATCTACATCAGATCTACCTTGCTCATCACTGTTATCATTCAAGTATTATCAAAGTTTCGACATTCTGCATAGCTTCTCCAACATATGTGTGGTTTTATTTGGTGCACATAGTATGTTGTATCTAAGCGTCTTGTTCAATGGATTTGTAAAAATATCTTTACACTGAAAATAATTTCTCATTACTCTACTTATCAAAAACTTTATAGAAAATTCATTTCTATCAATGAATAAATCGTTTTACATGGTCAGTATTCAATTTTTTCAATAAATCTTTTCATATGAACAAAAATGTGTAACTTAACAATCTTCACAACGACCGACCCCATAATGCAAATAAAATCTTCGAAAAAGGAGTTCATTGTTCTTAGTCACTCCGTAAATTCATATCTGTATTAGATCCATCTTACTTATTCACTTTTGAAAATCTTCCTTTTTTTAAAAAAATGAACCAAATTTAAATCGTGTTAGTAACTAAAAACAGGTTAATATTCATTCATTCCTTCTACTTTGAAACTTTTCCTCAAAAAAAAACATTCATCACATAAAACAAATAACTAAACTCAGCACTTTTATACCTAACACTGCTCAATTACCAAAAAAACTTTATGGAAAACTAATTTCTCTATCAGTAAATGAATAATTCATATTCAACGTTCAATTTTCAATATTCAATATTAAATTTTCAACGTTCAATTTTCAATGTTCAATTTTCAATTTTCAATGATCAATTTCAATGTTCAATTTTCAATGATCAATTTTAAATGTTCAATTTTCAATGTTCAATTTTCAATGATCAACTTCAATGTTAAATTTTCAATGATCAACTTCAATGTTCAATTTTCAATGATCAATTTTAAATGTTCAATTTTCAACGTTCAATTTTCAATGTTCAATGTTCAATATTCAATTTTCAACGTTCAATATTCAATTTTCAACGTTCAATGCTCAATTTTCAACGTTCAATGCTCAATTTTCAGTTTTCAATTTTCAATATTCTATTTTCAATGTTCAATGTTCAATTTTCAATTTCAATGTTCAATGTTAAATTTTCAATGTTCAATTTTTTGCAATATTCAATTTTCAACGTACAATTTTCAATATTCAATTTTCAACGTTCAACGTTTAATAATTTTCAGTGTTCAATGATCAACGTTCAATTTTCAATTTTCGAAAAAAAGTGTTTGTTTC